ATATTTGGGTCCTGACCCATAGGTTGGGTTGGGAAACCCTGCTCTAGAGTTAGACTGGTGCTGCGAATCCTACGTTGCACGGCCAGCCCCAGAAATGAGTTAAATCAGTGGTTCTCCACCACGGGTACGCATGTGAGTACGCAAAGGTCTTCTGGGAGGTACATCAGTTCATCTGGGTATGTGCCTCATTTTGCACCAAGCTACATAATAAGCACTAGCCAAGTGCACACAAACTAAAATTTCATGCGCCGGAAAAAAGCGGCGGACATCTTTATTTAAATCCCGCGGGGGATATTTAAATCCCCCGCGGATTTCCCTATTCCGAAGTTTAAAATTAGCATGCCCCTTTCGAAAAAGGGGCCAGTGTAGTCGTAGCACAAATGATTTATTTGATTTTGTAAGCAAGTCCTTTTTAAGTGAGGAGAATCTTGAGGTGCAGGAGGCAAACCAGCCTTCGGAAAGGAGCACAGCAGTCTGGCGAGGTAGAGTGCCCCTGAGTGAAATTACCTAATAGCACTACCATAGAGTGGAGCAAGGGGAGTTGCTAGTAGGAAACAAAAAGCCACTGTGATGAGCCATACATTTTTTATAGGGAGGCCTAATTATTTGTTTGGGAATGAAATGGGGAACAGATGCTCAAGCATCTGATCTGTAGGTTGTTCGTTTCCTATCACGGTGTTACAAAGAAAGATGGTATTAGAAATGAGGGATTTGTGTCACATGCAGTGGGTGTTTCAGTAGGGCAGCGTTAATTAGCAAGGTAGAGAGCTGAGTAAAATAAATGGAGATCTAGGTAAAAAAAACAACCTGAAATAAATGGGGCAGCAGTATTCTCGGAAGCTCAAAGGGTTCCAAATGCAATAGAGACCCTGAGAAGTCGATGAAGCCATTTAAATGGGTTTCCAAGGGAGACAGTCATTTCAGACAGAGTGGGTCAGAAAACCCCACTTCTTTTGTTATATCTTTTTTTCAAACTGAATCCCGTTTGTCAGGATTTCATTCCCCATGTGACACTCCTGCTAGGGGGATGGGCAGGTGGAAGCAGGAGTGGGCTTGTCCGTACATGTCGGAAGAAGAGTATGATATAGAAGAGACTGCAGGGTGGTTATGGAGCTGACAAGTGTCCCAGTGCGAGATGCTGGGTGCTGATAACTCTGGAAAATCTGGGGAAGGGAGGCTAGGCTCATGGGGTGCACGGGAGTCAGGGCAGAGGGTTGGGGGCGTGGGGGTGTGTGTGCAGGAGTCAGGGTTGGTGAGTATGGGGGTGCAGGAATCAGGGTTGCAGGATGTGGGGTTCTGGAGTCAGAGCAGGGGGCTGGGAATGTGGGGGGCTCGGTGCAGGAGGCTGGGTGTGTGTTTAGGGGTTAGTGCAAAGTTTGCTTGAAAAATGGGGCTCCTACAGCTATAGGTGCACAGGAGTGAGTTAAAGATTGGGGACCGGGACCTCAGGGATCTGAGGGCAAGGCAAGATGGAGCATTCAGTGGTGGAGTCTGAGCACAGCGCCAGCTGCTGAGTTTAATCTTGAGAGTGAACTGTTTTCCCCTTGCAAATACTCAGTTTGACGTCTGTCTGGAGAGGGCCTGTCGCTTGGCAGAGTTCTGCGCTGAGACAGCTCCCTTCTGGAAGGGAGGTCCAGAGAGCACAGCCCAAAGCATGGCATTGTGACAGTTACAGTGTCAAGAGAATAAGCCTCCTTCCCCCCAACAGTTCATTAAGATTACGAGAGGATTCTTCTGTGTCAGATAATCACACCTCAGTGCTGGCTAATCCTCAGTGTGAAACTCCACAAGCCAAGCCCATAACTTTTAAGCTCCCTAGACTTGCTAGAAACTGGCTGCTTCGTAAACTTTTCCTTGATTTCTGTATCTGGTATGACTGGAAAGCCTCTTGGACCATCCCTGCTCCAGGGTTAAGGGTTCATGGTTCTGTGCACAGGGCCAAAAGACAGAGAGCCTGTATTGAAGGTAGCTTAAAGCAGTGATGCTCTGATTTGAAACGTAGACCCTTGCACTATTTGTTCCTTCTGACTCCTTACCCTGCTAGGACGCACAGTGCAGGAAAGGCCATGGAAATGGAAGGAGAAAAGTTTTTTTTCTTTTCTTTTCTTTTTCCTTTCAAAAAATTGGCTCCTTCACCGTAACTGGCTCTCCCCCTGAGGCTGACTAGGACATGATCTGCCCCTCTCCGAGCTAAGCTGCCCAGCTGATGTGGGGAAGGGCAACAAGGATATGTCAGAGGCTAAGATACACAGGCAGGACCATGAGTCGCCTGACTCGGGGAATCTGCTTTCTCCCTACTGCAGGCGAGTCATGCCCCCCACAGCTTTCATCTCTCTCTTCTTGTGCTATGAGTCGCTGCCGCTGGCTAGCAGCTGAGTAGAAAATCAGCCAGATGGGGACCACTCTGTTTCACCAGGCTATCTGGACAGCCTGCTGGGCCCGTCATGGAGGGGGATGGGAGAGTGGCCTGTTTTCTCTTCTTTCCTATTATTTTCATTGCAGTCACATCTACCACGGAGAATGTGCCCCCACTGTGCGGAACGGACACGTGGCAAGGGACAGACCTCGCCCTGAAGAATTTACAGGTGTCACAGACAAGACAGACAGAGAGGAAGAGACTTGCCCACAGTCAAAGAGCTGGGAGCAGACCCAAGGTTTCCTCAGTGCCATTGGATCACCCTCTTCCCTTCTCCAGCGCCCTTAAATGCTCAGAGCTGTACTGGTTCAGAGCAAACACCAACAGGGCAGGGAGGGCTGCCAGCTTGGCAAAGCAGTCGCTGACACCGTCCTCTGACCCAGTTAGCTGCCTAATGCCAAACCTTTAACAGGATTGCCGGTTATAAATAACTCCCCCTTCATTGTAACGAGTCGAACTCTGGTCTGTGGGATGTGCTGGGTACATACCCATTGCATTGTAACTCAGCGCGTACAGTTTTAAGTGGGTTTGTGCGAGCAGCCAGTGCCGGAGCCATCCCTGCCCAAAGGAAATGTGCAGTGAACTGGTTTTATCCAGAGATTAAAACATTGGATCGGCAGGACTCGGATGAATGCACTGAAAAACACCCCGCGTAGGTTTCAAACAATTGGGATGGGTTCTGCCTTGAGCAGGGGGCTGGACTTGATGACCTCCTGAGGTCTCTTCCAGCTCTAGGATTCTATGATTCTATACACAAAGCTCTCACCTAACTGGCATGCAGCCGCTTCTGGGGAGGGAGTCCGGGACTCGGTAGCCCTTCTGTGCCAGTGACATTTCAAAGCTGTGTTTTGAGCTGGGACAATGGAGGATAACTTCCTCAATCGGAACAGCAGAGAAATGATGGATGTTGGCTGGGATGCCATGAATACCCCTGTCCTGGCAAAAAAACAAACAAAAAGCCAGAGGATCTTAAAAGGCAAAGAGCAGTCAGGGATTTGGGTTGGTGCCTCATTACACAGTTGCCAGTTCAGCCTTCTTGCTGGGATTGCATTAGCGTGGGAGAAAGCTTGACTGTAGGTCCCAGCAGCTTATGATGCAATGACTCTGAGAAGGGCAGTCAAAAGCCATGTCCTTGGATGCTTGATCACTGGAAGCCTGTGCTGTCAAGTAGTATGTGGCATCTGCCATTCCCAAGATGGACTTAATCTGCTGACAGCGGAGGAATTGTCTCATGGGCTGAAATGTGCACAAGTAGCCACTTGACTGTCTTTGCAGCCGATGTGGTGTTCTCCTGAATGCTGCTATTGTGATTGTGTTCAATCTCGCATCCTTTTATCCATCGCTCAGGAAGGTTCTGTGCATTTAGCCCTTTCTCTACTCACTGCCTCCTTTTCAGACAGTGGCCAAAAACCGGGGATCTTCACACTCTGGAACTGAAACTTGCGAAGGGGTTCTCTACACAATAGGTCAAACCATGATCCTGATTTGGAACACACCTGAGTCATACCTAGAGCTGAATTTTTCAGCTTTAACCTGTCTCTGTTAGCGACACCTCTGCCCCCTTTCAGAAAAGATTCTTTGTTAGGTGTCTGCAGGCACTGGTCATTTTATGTACACCATAATAAATATGCTGAGTGCTACATGTTAAAGCCACATGAACCTCTGCAGGCTTGGTTAACAAAAGGTGCATTCAAATATATTCTTTGGTTCTTGCCTCCCAAATATTGCTGAGACCTGACACAGTCTTAAATTGTACATTTCAAAATGGCAACATGAAATTAATAGAATTTTGAAGCCATCTATACTTCACAATAATGGTATCAGAAATATGTAACGCTAATTACAAATGCCATCCACTTAGAATGGAAGCATTAATCTTTGCATTCATCTTGATGTTGGAAAAGGTTCCGAAAGGGCAACAAAATGATTAGGGGGTTGGAACAGCTGCCATATGAAGAGAGATGAAAAAGACTTGGACTTTTCATCTCAGAAAAGAGGAGACTAAGAGGGAATAGGATAGAGGTCTGTAAAATCATGACAGGTGTGGAAAAGGTGAATAAGGAAATGTTATTTACTTGTTCTCGTAACATAAGAACTAGGGGTCACCAAATGAAATTAATAGGCAGCAGGTTTAAAACAAACCAAAGGACGCTTTTCTTCAAGCAGCGCACAGTCCACCTGTGGAACTCCTTGCCAGAGGACATTGTGAAGACCAGGATTTTAACAGGGTTCAAAAAAGAACTAGATACATTCAATGGCTATTAGCCAGGATGGTTAGGAACAATGCCTCTAGCCTTTGTTTGTCAGATGCTGGGAATGGGCGACAGAGTAGGGATCATGTGACAATTCCCTGTACTGTTCATTCCCTCTGGGATACCTGGCACTGGCCACTGTCGGCAGACAGGACACTGGTCTAGATGGGCCTTTGGACTGGCCCAGTCTGGCTGTTCTTATGTTCTCATGTTATTATATTATTTTGCTTTTTTTTTTTACTTCCTCTTTTCCCCCATATGTATTTGCTTCCAGCTCATTGCTATGCCATCTATTGAAACCCACTGGTCTTTCATGTGGATTTTCTCCACAGAGGTGCCTTTTCAGAAGTGTTCCTAGTGAAGCAAAGGATCACCGGGAAGCTCTTTGCTCTGAAGTGCATCAAGAAGTCTCCTGTCATCAGGGACAGCAGCCTGGAGAACGAAATCGCCGTGCTGAAGAAGTGAGTATCGTTTCGAACGTGCCATATGGGCAAACTGCTTTCCCGCGACATGCACCATTAGAACCAAAGCTGTGCAGCTCCCTGAGCCTCACGGCCCTTTGCCACCACTGTGGTGCACACGCTCCTATCCATCGCACGAGATGAAAGGAAGCTAAATGATACTGGGTATTGGTTTCCATTCTCTGGAAAGGGCGGGGGGTAAAGTTTAATTACTCATTCCCCTTGCTGAGCCCAGGGGAGACAACAGGGTCGCCAGGCTCTGTGTTCCAGGAAGAGGCAGGGCCTCAGGCAGAAGGCGCGGGGCTGGAACAGACAGCCCCCAGCACCATCCAGATGGCCTGGCATTCTCTTCCACTCCCGCCAGCCCTCAGAGCTGGCCAGTGCAGTGCCTTGGAGCCCACTGCCCAGTGCTCTAGCAGAGAGTCTAACAAGCCCTGGGCTTCTGTTAGATTCACTAGGACTTGGGGCAATTGCCTCCTCCCCACCCACACATCAGCAGGCCTGGCCTAGCCCATCAGCGTTGCAGGAGAACCGGAAAAAGAAACACGCTAAGATCAAGCAGCATGAAGAGTGACCAGAAAGGTTTCCCATCTGCCTAAAAATAACAAAATATGTGTTATTGTCCTTTACTGTTATGGGCCTTGTTCTTTACTGCCTAGATGAGTGTTTTCGCTTAGCTCCCATTTTACACTGGTGTAAATGGCGACACAGTGTGCAAAGCAGGAAGGCATCGGCCACAGAGTGTCTTTTGGACAGGACTAAATCAAAGGGCATTAGCAAGCTGTTAATGCACCTCAGCCAGACCCGTGTAGACAGTTAGTTCATCTTCAATAGGCTAGCTTAGGGTCAATTCACCCCTGGCTTGCCACAAACCAATGTTCGTGCAGACATCTGATCTCACTCACGCCTGCCCGTATGAAGAGTCGCTCTTTGGAAGTGAGTAGAATTTTGCCCAGAGAAAAATGGGTGTAAAGCAAGAGGAAAACCAGACTGTGACTTTCAGTTTGACAATGCATCTTTATCCGCCACAAAGAGGTTTGTAACCCCGGTTTGTCTTTGCTGGTTGCAGAATAAAGCATGAAAACATTGTGACTCTAGAAGACATTTATGAAAGTGCAACCCACTATTACCTGGTCATGCAGCTGTAAGTACCTCACGATACACCTCTGTCTGTGCTGCGTAGAAACAGCAGTAACATTTTCCCTGATGCCGTGTGTCCATCTGAGCAGGCCTCACGCAGGATTCAAGCATTCAAATCTGAAAGTCAAATGCACAAAAATATCCACTCAGACAGATTCTTCATTGGTGGACTGTGAACAACAGTTTGAGATATACAACTACTCAGGGCATTTCTTCGTAGTGCACGAGCCTTCTTTTATATTACAGGTTGAACCACTCTAGTCTGGCACTCTCTGCTCTGGCAACCTCCGTAGTCCGGCATGAGTTGAGTTAGCGGGATGTCCACTTATCAAGGGTATGGCCAAGTTTCCTGCACTCCCATAAAGTTTGTTTATAGCCACCAGTCCTGGCTCTATTCTGTTATTTAGCTCTAATGTACCCCTAAATGTCTTCTAAGGGCCCAGCAAGGAGTGGAAGTGTTGGTAATAATGCTAGACAACCCTGACCCCCTGTGGTTTGGTAAATTTTCTGGTTCACACCAGTCAGGTCCTGAGGGTGCTGGACTAGAGAGGTTCAACCTGTACTATCCAAATTCAGATCAGCAGCTAAGTCACCATGGTGATTTAGCAGGACAGGAAAGCTATGCTATGCACGGCGCAACATGGGCAAAGTGTCGGCAGCAAAGAAAGCAGCTAGCGGCGGGGAACACCTGTGGCTGAGGGATTAGGTGTAGATTCCTCTAATGAGGATTGTTTTACACAGATTAACTCACAGCCAATCCCGTCACGTGGCGGAGGCTGGAGACAGCCCAGCACACAAGGCGGCAAGTCAGACGGGAATCTCCCTCCCCATCCTTGGGGTCCAGAAAACTCGGTAGCCGCCTCCAGGCAATTTGGGCGCAATGAGCTTTGCCAGTTGTGCTGACCAGCTGGTTGGGAAGCTGCATGCAGAATTACACGAGTGAGTTACTTATGGGGCATTTCAAATGCTGGTCTTAGATTGAGGAGCCAAACGGGGGCCATCAAGGCAGAAGGGTTCAGGGCAACCCCAAGCCTTGCAATGGGTGTGTGTCACGGGGCTGGTCCCCCGCCAGCCTTAGGGGCAGTGGTACGGCTATGCAGTCAAGTTGCAATCACCTCCCTTTGTCTCAGGGCAGTGTGACCTAATGTGTGAGGAGCCAAAATGGGGTGGGCCTCTTATGCCGGGCTGTGTGGCCTAGTGGCCAGAGTCAGAGCTGTCCTGTCCATAGGACAGTTCGGGGCAGCTGCCTCAGGCCTTTGTTTTGGAGGCCCTGTGACGGCCGCCTCAGCCATCCTATGGACACAGCCCATGGCAGCCCAGGAGATTACTGGGGGCCCTGACGCAGGGTGGCAGTGGGGGGAACCGGAGCTACCCAGCAGCCTGCTCCGCTCTGCTCTGTTGTGCGCTGCCCTGCTGCCCACCTGCCAGCCAGCTGGGCTCCGCTTCACAGCGGCAGCAGGAAGCAGAGAGCCCCGGGGAAGCAGAGCCCCATGGGCTGAGAGGGCAACGGGGTGGGGTACAGTGGAGCAGGCTGTGGGGTCACTCTGGCTCCTGCTGCTGTAGTGGGGGGGCCACCCCTGCTGCCACCTAGTGCCTGACCCCTTAGTAAGCCCCTGGCTCATGTTACCCTGGGAAGGGGACTTCAGGCAAGGGGGCAGAGCAGGAGCAAGGCTTGGGGGCATGGGTGGGGTGGGAGCAGAATCAGGGTGCGGGCAAGGGATTTGCCCAAGACCCCTTGTCCCCCTAGGAACGGCCCTGGTCAGAGTCCATGTAGCTGCCCTCTTGGTCAGGGCTGTGTGGCCTAGTAGTTAGATTGGTGGGTTGCCACGTTGGGGTAGGTGACAGAGTAGATGGACATGGGCTTTCCCTTCTGCACCAGGTCCCAATCCAAGGCCTTACCCCAGCTTG